TGTAAAAGGACAGAGAAAGAACAAGTGTTCAATGGATTCATAGTAGCAGAACTATATGATTTTAAACTCGGACTAGATCGGCTGGTCTGACCAGTCAAATTGGGAGCCAATCAAGTGTTCAGTCCGAGTTATTCTAAAAAATTGGATAGATAAAAACTCGGTCAAACTAAGCCAAAAATCAGATTTGACTAGGTTTGACCGGAAAAACCGGAGAACCGGTTTGGTGTTAAAGTTTTTTTTTAAGGTCAAAGTATTTTCAATATTATGTTTTGACCTCTAGATTGTTAAAAATTATTAATATATCTCAAATATTTTATATTTTATAAATGATGTCCTAAAGTTTGGTGTTATTTTTCAATCAAGTCCATAATTTTAATTCTAAACGTATTAATATTCATTGAATAATATAAATTGCTACTTAATCGTTCTAATTTCTTTTTATTTTCTTGCTAAATATATTTGAAACATCAAATATATATGAATATATCTTCATTAATATTAACATGCATTTAGGTATTTTACATACCATATTTTAATTTTTAAATAATTTTTATTTATAACGTCATTCGATTCAACTCCGATCGAATCCATTGACCCCTAACCCCTGAACTCGATCGAGTCGATACCCTGTCTGAGCCTAGAAACATAATAGCAAAACACAGAGTGCAGTAGGGGTCTATTGTCACCCCCATGCTAGTAGTCTATCCTTAGTTGATAACCTATTTTGACACGGCAACCACAGAATAAAAGAAAAATGAAAAATGAAAGAAAAATGGAAAAGTAATTTTGGATCATATGTGTTTAGATTTTTTTGAAGAAAAATTATATTGTAGAAACAATATACTATATCGATGTTTGGATTGTAAGAACCCGTTTAAAAAACGTAAATTTGAGAATATATACTGCTGAAAAATATGCTGTAGCAATGAGAAAAAAGTTCGAATTTCTTCTACAACCGTTTAAAGTATTGCATGGGGACGCGGGGCTGGAGCGGTTGTCAGAACAACTGCTCCGGAAGGTGTAACACCATTTGCACATGGTGTAACATCATCTGTACAAGGTGTAACAATAGAACAACAGCGAGTAACAATAGAACAATATTTTTGTGGGTCCCACACGACGTGAAAATCGAGTTACAAGACGTGATCTGAGCCGTACAAATTTTTGAGGTCTCATCCAGGCCGTGAACTGCCTGGGACGGTTGTCAGAGACAAACGTCCAGGCCCCTGGACTGACAACCGTCTAGGCCCCTCGTCCATTGCATGGAGGGTTGTCAGCATTGATAGCCGAGGGACTGGGGAGCCTGGGAGCCTACTTAGCCAACGGGAGACGGAGGATTGCAGGAATTCAACTCAGCATTAGCCATCTCAATAGTGCACAGATTGGTGACTTGGTTCATGCTGAGGCAACCTCTATCAGTGTTGGCAAAACTATTCAGGTACTTTGCTACCATTTTTTTTTCCTTGACTTGATGCACCAAATATAATTTACATTTTGTCACAATTATTCTTAGGTATTAACTTGTTACACTTGATGTCCTTTTCATGATTACTACGAAATTAAAGATGTTAATTGTAATTATAAATTACTTGGTGCAGGTATGGGAAGTGATGTTCTGGAAGGCTAGTTCCTAAAACTCTTAAGAACAAAGCTTTGATAGCATCATCAAGAGTTACAATTATGTGCAAAGTTTCAGAAAATGCTAAAGATGGTGATGTAACTCTTAAGCTTGCAAAATTATGAGTTGTACTTGCCTTGAACCAACAATAAAACCAGATATTATGCCAATTTATGCACATGCAGTTTGCACATTTTATTTTCTTTGTATGTAGTAGAATTGACTAAAGTTGGTACTTAACTAAAGTGAAAACCTACCTCAAAAACTATTTTTTGAAATAGATATTGAATATTGAAGATGGTCAAGCATACCGAGTAAGATTGCCTTAAAATTCTCGCTTGAGGTGAACTCTATCTTACTATATAACATACGAGTTATATTCATGTCTGTCTTACCATGTAATTAATATATGAGTTATATTCATGTTTGTTGATATTTGTCTGGAACTAGTTTGAACTCAAACAATTTTATTGAAATCAAAGCTAAAACTAAGCAAGCTCGAACTCAATTAGAGGCTTCAATACACTTCCAATCGTAAACAGTAGGCTAGATTTCGAAACCATTGCTCTATCCGGTGGTCAACGGTGGGGTGCAGTTCATTTATTTATTTTTACACTAAGTCAAGACTATTCAAAAATTTGGGAGAGCCCAATCGAGGGGTTAAAGCCTAAAGGGGAAGAAATCTATCTCTTGGCCAATGGCCATAGAAGTGTACTACTCGGCCCTTTATATTTTTTAACCCAAAGGGATTCAAAAGTTTCTCCTTTACATGAACTAGGCAGAATTTGAACTCTACCCTAACCTAGTGCGCAGCAGAACCTATGAGACTCTTTCTAATTCTAGCCAACCTACCTGAAGCGAGTTTGTTAGTAATTTATTTTTTGTCGTGATTCTTATTAATTAGCAGAAAAATGGAGCTTCATCAGATGATGCAGCAAGGCCACAGGTCAATTTCGGTTGTCTAGTTTTGCCGTTATAAAATTTAGTTAGGTACTGCAAATAGAAGAGTCCTGCCTTTTTGTTTCACCTAGGCCTATCAATCGGGCCTAATCAGCCGGACTTTCATAAGTTTCAGGTTCATAAATGTGAATCTCATATTCAACTCACATAATATTCGGGTTGTGAGCCTTAATCGGGCATAGCCCAAGCTCACTTAGTGCTCCTTAATTTTCTTAATATAATTACTATAACTATTAAGTTGTAAAACTAATTTAACATTTACAAAACTATAATATTAAAACCAAATATGAACAAATAATAGTTCTTAAAAAGTATATAAACCAAAACTTTTTCAACAATATTTATATTTAATTCGTTCAAAATGCATGAAAAATAGTAATGAAACATGCGATAATAAGCCAATACATCTTTAAAAGTTGAAACTTTTTTTATAATCTTGTGATTTGAATCCAAACATGTTTGATGATTTGTGTTTGTAGATCAAAAAGAAATCAAACAATATTATGCTAGCACAAAAATTTATTCAACCAATAAGAAAAGTTAGAGATTCAGTGGTGCATTATTAATATTGGCTATCAAGAAAGATCATGGAAGAGTCTATAGATATATTTTTATATTTTGTAATATATATATCAATAAGAAAAGTTAGAGATTCAATTGTGCATTACTAATATTGGCTCTCAAGAAAGATCATGGAAGAGTCTTTAGATATATTTTTATATTTTGTAATATATATATATATATATTTAGTATTTAATAATAATATATTAGACATATAATTATTCATAATATAAAAATATAAATATTACATATATATAGATAATTAAAGGGCCGGGCTTATATCGGATTTGAGCTTAATAGGGCTCAAGCTTGGCTCATATTTAATTCGGACTTAATTTTTAGGCTCAAACTTAGACCGGCTCACAAAAATATCGGATTCATCGGGCTTTTTGTAGGACCGAACAAGCCGAGTTCGGGCTGGTCCAGCCCCATTGACAGTCCTAGTTTCACCTTCTTCCTTATTCCTTCTTTATATGCCCTATAAATTTCATAGAGTTCATACCGAGCGATGTGAATAAAGATGCCACGTAAATTTTAATTGGCAGAAAAATGCTAGAAGCATCACTTAGTTCAAATGGAGAGAGAAGTGAGAATTAATTAGAATGCGTATCTATGTCTTTTGTTTTGGTCTTCACCAGAATGATGGGAATTTCATAAATAAGCCAAATTCTCAGGGACGAGTAAAATATATACAACAAGCTGAAATTCAGAGCGGAAATTAGAGAATGGAAAGAAGAGCTTTGAATGCTGTTGCATCATGACTCAGCTATTGTAATGGAAGATGCCTCTGGTGATCTTGAAGGAGAACCAAAGAAGGGTTTTGGAGGGAACTCCAAGGCCTCCAAGCTACCTTCCAGCATTTCTATCACCTTGCTTACTGCTGGTCTTTGCGATGGATCAGCCTGTATGCACCATAAACCCACTAGGACCATCTTTCGTGCAATTTCATCTTCTTCAGGAGTCATTACACCTTTCAATTTGAAGTCCTTTTCAAGTATCATATGCTGATACGCCCAGTGAGGAAAGTATATTTCACTTGTATGACTTGCTTTAACACTGACGTTCTTTCTTCCTCCAACCATTTCCATAAGCATCATTCCATAGCTGTAGACATCGGACTTGGGCGAAACAACTCCAAAGTTTCTACAGATTACTTCTGGGGCAATATAACCAACCGTTCCCCTCGCTTCTAGCATTGACACGACACTTTCTTTCCTGGAGCACAGCTTTGCCAAACCAAAATCAGAAATTTTAGGACAAAAGTCGTCATCAAGAAGTATATTGTGAGGTTTAATGTCAAAGTGCAAAATCCGCATGGTGCACCCTCTATGCAGGTATTCAAGTCCTCGAGCTATCCCCAATGCAATTTGATAAAGTTTTGCCCATCCCAGGTGACCATCAGTCTTTGACGTTGTTTCACCATGTATATATCTCTCCAAAGATCCATTAGGCATGAATTCATAGATGAGAGCCCTTTTCTGACCTTCAAAGCAGAATCCTAATAAAGCAACAATGTTAACATGGGATGTTCTGCTAATGCTTGCGACCTCATTGATGAATTCCTCTCCACTTCCTTTGGATGTATTCAGAATCTTTACTGCAACAGGACGGCCGGCAAAAAGATTTCCTTTGTAAACTTTCCCATATCCACCTTCGCCGAGTTTATCTTTAAAGGAGTTAGTCATTCTCTTGATATCGGAATAGCTGTATCTTCTTGGGGCAAGGGATCCATATTGCTTGATGGCGGCTTCAAGGATCAGATTTTCTTTTGATGTCCTCTTAAATAATAGTAAGATAGACCTATAAGCTGGTTTCTTGTTTATGATGCGGTGAATTACTACAGAGATGATTATTATTGTTGTCAGTAGTACTCCTGCTGCTGAAATTCCTGTAATATTATTTTCGCATAAAAGAAATACCATCACATGAAAACCGAATCACTTAATCATAATCAGCATTAATAGAACTAAATTATGGAGAATAGTATCATACCTATTACATTTCTCAGCCTTTGTGAACGATTCTTACCTGCAGAATAACCCCCGTATCAACAGAAATATGAATCAGATGAAGAAATAGTTTTTCACTACTTTGAACTTTCTACCCTTCCATTTTTGGCAGTTCACATTACAAAATAATTCCAGCTTGTCAGGTTAATTTCGCTGGTAACGTACTTTCGATGGTATAGGAATAAAACTATCTAATTATGCAAATGCGGAAATTCTTCTTAAGATAAAAGAAAATCAATTGAACCTAAGAGAATTGCCAGGAAAGTTACACAACAGGCAGGCATATTGGAAATAAATCATTTTGACTAGCTCCGACACATTCGGCAGGGTTCAGGGTTAAGAATTAAGTCCATAAGGTTTGGTATAGCAACAAAAGGATTGATTTGATTAGTGATGTCAGTATTGACCATGCAGTATACTAGGGTAAGCAAATGGTACAAATTTGGTAATTCGATTAGTTGAATTCAGTGAATTCAGTTATTTGACTTATAGAAATTTAAATCCCTTTCAATTTCGAATTGGCTATAACCGAATTTATTTCGCAACCGATTTCGAATTCGGAAATAGTAATGAATTCGGTTAACCGAATTTATTTATAAAAAAAAATGATTTTTAAAAATTATTACTGATTTGATCCCTAAATTTATTCATAATTTAACACATTACTTATGTTCTAATCATTTTGTAGTTTAATTTAATTAGCATTTATTTGATCACTTATACCTAGAATCCTTAGTCTATGATTTAAGGAACACATAAAAAGTGATTAATTTAAACTAGAATAAACCTTAAACTGTACAATGATTAATGATAATTTATGAATTTATAATTTACAATGATTAATAATAAGTAATATTAGTTACAAACTTACAAATTACAATGATTAGTGATAAGTTATATTAGTTACAAACTTATAATTTATTTCAAATCAAAATAAAACTTATTTACTTACATATGTTATTGTGAAAGTCAATATACTAATACAGTAATTTGTAACTCATATGCATTCACTTACACTGCTTAGTTGTCTTGTCATACTTAAAACCTTAAGATTAGTGAATAGAGAATATGAATTTTTATGTTAAATATGTAATATAAATTTAGAGCATACTAATACTTGCAAGTTGCAGGTTACGCATTCAAATATTCAATAATTCGAACATGAATGATGTATCAAATTACCAATATCTAAATTCTAATTACTAATTATGTTTATTGTTTAATATTTAGTATTATACATATATGTATTAATTATTATCTAATTCTAGTCATGTTACTCATGTATAAAATAATAAGTATTATAGTTATGTTTTATTGTTATGTATTACTATATATTTGTATTATTATAGTCATATAACAATTAAAAAATACTAAAATAATATATTGTACATTATTATATATTATTATTATTATAAGTACATGATAATACCATATACTAACAATTATTAATAGCATTTATCTATATAATATAATAATATATTAGTAGTATATACTAATACTAAATAGCATTTATCTATATATTATATAATTTTATAAACTAATTTGGTATTCGAATACGGTAATGCGGTACCCTATTTCATTTTACCGAATTTGAATGCAAAATCGATTAGTATCAAATTCATAATTTCATTACCTATTTCATACCATATTAAAATTCGATGAATTCGGCACGTACCGAATTTGTATCAAATTACCAAATACCCGACTTCAAATTATCAAATTGAATTTGAATTCGATTATGAATTCGATATGTACCGAATTTGCTCACCCCTACAGTACACATGTATCAGCAATCATATTTGTAAGGAATGTGCAAAAGATTTTCTATTGAATGCAAAACTCTTCCCTGCTTACCTTCATCACAGGTTTTTAGGTGTTTATGGTCATCACAGTAACACACAAATTCATTGTCATAAGAACCGCACTCCCCTCCACTACTCCTGCATTTGCTGCAACTGTCTCCATCCCACTGCAGAACGAATCCTTTCTTCAATACATCGGTATAATTCATGCTTAACAATCTTTTCAGGGAATCAATAGTTACTGGTGCACTAACTGGAGGTTGACATGACAGTTCCGAATGGTTCCTGCCGTCCAGGAGTTCGGTATGAAAAACAGCAAAAGCATGATGGCTAACATTACTGGCACAATCCACAGCATATGTCTCTTCTTGATACGGCTCAGTGCAATTGTAGAAGAAGAAAAGGTCCACAATTTCAGGGCCGTAGCAGAATGGAGTTCCTCCAGTGCTAAAATTATGTTGAGGGGTTGGACATCTATTACCAACATCATACAACTCAGCTTGAGATAGCAAAAGGGAATTATTCATGTAAAATATATCCCTGATGATATAATCATCATCAGAGATCTTTAAGATGGGGTTCTTGTCCCTGCAGGTGATATTGAACGTTGGTGAGCCACAATATGACTCTTGCCTGCCTGGAATCCAAAAGGGATACACTATGTTCAATCCATTCCCACAGCTCTGAGGCATGCAATCGCTTGAATTTGTGTAAAAGCATACAATTCCATCCACCAAGATAGTGAAGAGAATGGCTGTAATTTGAATATGATGATAAATCTTGTACAACAATTTGTGATCCATTACTGTGGAAAGAAAGAAAATAGCAGAAGAGAGCTAAGGGACGAAAGGCACTGGTCACTGGTGTAAGGAAGTAATATTGGCATCACAATTAAAAGAGTAGCTGAATTGGTCAAATTTCAAATGGAATTGAGAGGTCTACGAGACTACGACCTTTGGTCTGGCGTGTCTTAGTATTTGGATTTGACATTTGGTCTTCAGAGTAAAAAGACAAATTTGCCCTCAGGACGACAGGACTTGAAGTGAAAACGCGTTGAAAATGGACCACTACCACCATGCAGATACATGTTGCCGTTTGACGCACAAAAAAAAAAAAAAAAAGGACCACCATGCAGATACAATTTTAGGCTGAAAATTTGTTATTGTTTTGGACTAGACTAGCCACAAAAATACTAGCTGATGCAAGCATGAAGGATATTCAATCTTAGCACTTTAAATTCCTATCCTTCATCTCACTAAATCTGAGTTGGAAAATTCTTTCGAGTAAAAGTATACATGATCCTAGCAAGGTTTTGTGTTGGCATAATTGAACTCAACTTCATAAGTATTAAAGTTTCCTAATTATAATCCAGACGTTCTTGTTCTTGTCAAATTTTAGTGGTTAATTTACTGATTTAAAGTAGAGAGCAATTATTTAGTAGTTTCTTGTCTTAATAGTTTCTAAATTATCAAGTCTTATGAACTATATATAGGGTGTTTTAGTAGTGTTAGAGTGAGAAGAAAATTATGAAAGACCAATGAAATTAAGTCTTGATTATTTATAAAGTGGCTAGATTTCATGCCAGTCTCAATATGTGAGTTGGACGTAGCTCATCTCTTTTTCCACGCATTTTTATATATGTCAAAAATATTTTTGCTATGTGTTTTTATGTGCTAATAGGTAGTATCAAAACCCTAGAATATCTGTACTTTGATCTGAGGAATTGTCAAAAGTAAGATTACAAGATTGATGTTGATAGAATTTTGAAGATTGAAAATTTGAAGAGGTGGAGTACTCGAATATCGAAAAAAAATTAGACCACTATTTTGACCTCGAGGTACTCAATAGTTTGACAATTAGGGAAAAAAAATGTTAGCCCTGATTGAGACAGAGATCCGAAAAGAAAAACCCTATCATGTTTTTGTTGGTATTGGACCATATAAAGGTTAGTTTAAAAGTGGAATTGTGGGCATAATTAAATCAAAATTAATTAATTACTGATGTTTCTTATTTATAATTTGAGAGTTCTTGTTCTAGTCATAATTTCTTCACCCATTATCAGTTAATATCTGATTATAGTTTGAGTAAAATAACTCAATCATAAACCTGTTCATCAATAGTCAACAAAATATATTCATAACAAACCCATATATAGAGTTTCTAATATCAAAAATAATTTAAAAGTAATTCATTGACAATAATAAGCAAATGATTTTGAATAATTATTTTGGTATTTTCATACAAAGTAGGCTTTTTAAAGATAGTTTTTAATTATGGTATATTTTCTATTTGATACAAAGGAACGTTCAACATAGTAAAGTTAATTAACTAAAAGCTATGACTTCCTTTTTTACTTCATATTTGCTCTATGTACCCTCATATTTATAAACTTTTTATCTCAGTGATTTCAAACTTGATGAATGCTAAAATCTAAACTATATTGGTATAACCACTTTTGATTTTTTTAATTCATATAATTATTGAAAACTAACTAATTAAAAAGGCAAGAAAGAATTTTTACAATTTTAAAAAACCAACATTCTAAAACTATGAAAAAGTTAGGAGTTTTAAATATTAGATTAGCTATTTTTGGGGGTGTTTTTAAAAAATTTTACTGTAGCAGAGTTTTTAGAGTATATTTTGGAATATTTAAGAGTAGTAGAGTTTTTAAAATATATTTTGGAATATTTTTTAAATATTAAAAAAAATTTAGACTACTTTTTAGAGTACCTTTTAGAGTACTTTTAAAATTTTTTTATAGTATTTAAAAAATTAGTTTTTAAAAAACAGAAGAATCCAAATAGAGCCACTTTTAGAATAATTATCTTGTATCATCTTCACACTTTTATTCAAATAAATTAGGGGCTGGCATCCCCACCCCATGGACGGGGTTTTGCCACAAAAAAAAAAAAAAAAAAAAATCTTGTACGCCCAAATTAATCACGGGGAACTTTTTTGGTCAACCTTTTCATATGGGCTTAAGCTTTGAAAAATGATAGGACTCAAATAGTCCTCCAACTATTTTTAATTTAGTCCTCCAATTTTAAATTGAAACAATGTGATGTCTCAACTTTTATTTGCAAGGCTAATTTGGTCCATTTAAGTGCTACTTAACCATTTTTCTTTTTTATTTGGTCAAATGACAGCTGCTAACCTTTTCCAAGGAAGGGGTCGGCAGACCAAAAAGGTAACCGGGGAACTTGAGGGAGAATTTCGCTCGGAGACTAAAACGCATTTGCTTTTGACCAAATGAAGGTAGTGACTCGTAATGTTGCTAATTTTACGCTTTGCACATAAAAAAAAGTGTGCAAAAGTGCATATACAAATTATAAGTTTTAATCTCTTGACAAAAAAAATTATAAGTTTTGATCAAGTTTTATTAAAAAAAAAGGTCAAAATATAAACAAATAGAGTATATGCACAATGCATGCTTTATTGCGACATTTGCTTTTGACCAAATGAAGGTAGTGACTCGTAATGTTGCTAATTTTACGCTTTGCACATAAAAAAAAGTGTGCAAAAGTGCATATACAAATTATAAGTTTTAATCTCTTGACAAAAAAAATTATAAGTTTTGATCAAGTTTTATTAAAAAAAAAGGTCAAAATATAAACAAATAGAGTATATGCACAATGCATGCTTTATTGCGATATTAAATTGACGCTTTTAGGATACTTTACACTTAATTTTTTAGATTTTTAAAATTTGTGATTTTTCATTTATTTTATGTAATTTTCACATAATTGTTGTGTATTAAGTGGAAATTTTACTTAAATTTTAAAACTATAAAAATTAAGTGGAAATTATTATAAAATGTCCAATTTAATACTGAAATAAAGCAAGCACTGTGCATGTGCTCTATATACTTATTCATTTTATGAGCTTTTGTTTTTTTTTTAAAAAAAAAAAATAGGTTAAGCATTATAGGTTGGACAGGTGGTTCTATATACTTTGATGTATAAATAATAAATTTTTATATCTATTAATTATCTTCGGTTCGACAAAAAGTGAATAGGTTACCGTTATTTTATATATTTTTTAAGACTTTTTAAAATTTTGTAATTTTTCTTGATCTTTCTACACATTGGCATTGACTACAGGGTAAACCCACCAGGATTTTGTCATATAGGCCAATGATAGGTATGATATTTTCATATCATATTGTATTAGATTTTGTTAAACATTAGACACTAATATGGTCAATTAATAAACGTTATGGACCACAGATTTTAGATCAAACAATTAAAGACTAATTTGGTCGGAATTGAATACTTTTGTGACTACATTTTTTTCGCTGAAACATTAATAACTAATTTAATCAAATAGAATTGTTAAAGTTGTTACTTTTGACCCAAAAAAGAAGTTAAAGTTGTCAAATAGAGTGTTAAAAGAGTAGTTTATTTGAAGTACATAAAGGAACGCGTGTTGGAAAGTTGTGCTCTTGCTTGATTGTTCTTGGGCGAATTCTTAAAAAAAAAAAAGTATATATTTCTATATATAAAGCGTGGGTAGAGTTTGATGTTAAAAAAATATGTCTTTTTTGAATTACCAATTTTACTCTTACCAGAAAGAGCAAAATGGTCACAATATATAGTTGTAATGAAAAACTCTTTTTCCTCTTCCCATGTCAATACGATACAATACACTTACTTTGATTTGATTTCTCCATGTTTATCTCATAGTATTTGAAACGCTTTAAAACTGTGCTTCATATAGATTAGCTATATATATTTAGGGGTGTTTTCGAAAAATTTTATAACCTTTTTCTTGGTTATAAATCAATAAAATATTTAGCTGGATGCACTTCACTTGAATAATCTATTTCTTTTTTGTTTTTTGTTTTATAAATTTTTCGTGGATACAAATCAATCAAAATATTTAGTTATCTTTTCTTTCTACGAAGGAATTTATTTGTAACTATTGACCTTTCATCTTCTATGCAATTTTTCTCTTTTCATGTTTACACTAGTAAGGCTTGGCTATGCTATGCACAGCCGGTGCCCACCTTGAAGTGTTTAAAGGTAGCAAAATTTGAAGAAATGTTTTTGAATTGAGTGCCATGTGTAAATGTATGCGTAAAGTATGTATATTACTAAAATGGAGAGAAAGTGGATTATTGGCATTTAACATGAACTTACTTTGCCACTTAATATATTATATTATTTTCTTGTGAATTTTATTTTAATTCATTAATACATTAATATTTAGCAGCATTTTAAAATATTTTAAAATATTTAGTGTCATTTAAACTTGTATAAACCAATTGAAATTACCACCAAACATAATATGAACTTTGCCTGTCAATTGTTTTTAATTCAGTTATGAAGGCAACAAAAGAGGGACAACAGTGCATGATCTATACACTAAACTTTTGAAATTCTGATCTTGGACTTGCATGTTACAGTTTGCTGGTATTGATTGACATAAAAATCTGTCATTACATCCTTTATCAGTTCAGTGAAGAATTTTATTAACTTGTCTAATTGGTTTTTTTCTTTGTTTTGATTGTCAAAATTTAGCTGATAATGAAACAAACATTCAATTAGCTTAGCTATCCATCAAAGAAATAAGCAAGCATCTTCAACATGAACAATCTAAAAATGGTCACAAAAGCAAAAAAAAAAAAAAAAAAAAAAAACACGTCTAAATAGACTAAACAGTTTCAAAGTTCATTGATAGAGTTTACAATCACAAGTAACACAATATATATAATTCAATAGTAAGTAGCTACCAGTAGTTTACTTGCGAAACTTGTAAATATCAAGTAAACTTAACCAGCATTTTGTCAAACATTATGTAGGCT